ACACTTCCATGCATCAACATTTCAATTCAAACTACTTGCAGTCTCCATGTAGGCTTATACTTGCACACCCTTACGCCAGTTGCTGCTTGAGCGGGGCTGGCACCACTAGCTCCGGAGAAGCGTGGGGGGCCTGGAACCCTTGCCTCCGCGCTTCGTGGGCTGGCGAGTGAGCCTCCGCTGTCTTCTGGAGCTTCTCGGGGCTCATTCCCCGGTTGAACGCGCCACTGTGCCCGTCTGAGTCCATCTCAGTGTCCGAGTCCGTTCCGATTGCGGAGACCAGTGGGCGACGCACGCGAGGTTGACGCGGGCGTTTGGAGCCGACCATGCGGCGGCTCTTTGTCGTACTGGAATTCATGTACCTGTCCTGAAGCTTCTGCAAATCCTCCTCCGCCTCCAAGTCCTCTTCCATCGTCACACCACCGTGGCGGACGTAGATAGAGGACCCCAGCTTCTTCGGATTGCGGATCTCCGCAATGGACTCGCTGGCGAGCTTCTTGGAGATGTGCATCGGGTTGCAGCACAACCGCTCCGTCAGAAAAGCGCGAAGTGTGGTGCCCTCAGCGATGTCGAGGAACCCCTTGAAGAAGCAAATCAGGGCCGCTACAAACACCTCTTCGTCGTGAGACCATGGACCGCGTCGGCGAAATAGCGCACAGGACGTGCTGGCAATGCTGGCTGTTCCCGTGCTGGACACACTTGCCACGCTGGACTTGCGCTTGCTCTTGACGCGCGTCACCACCGGAAAAGGGGCGTTCTTGTGCTCCTCCTCGCGAGCTAAGCGCAGCTCGGTGAGGCGGCTCGGAGAAGTCCTCGTCGTCCGAGCTGTCCGACGTGTGCCTTGCACCCTTGCGCTGGTACGTGATGGAGCCGACATTGTCCGGAAACTTGTGCTCGCCCATGCGCTGCGGGGCTAGCTTCATCGAGAGCTGCTTCGGCGTGCAGCCTACCAGGTAGTTGCTGGCACAGATAGGTCACAAGTCTGGTACCTTCAGGGATGTCGAGCATGCCGGCCATGAAGTATTCGAAAAGTGACGAGACCAGTTCCTCCTCTTTAGGTGTCTCGAACCCTGTACGGATGATGGTGGGCTTGCCACGCTTGGGCTTCAGTCCTTTGCGTGTCCCTTTCCTCTTGCGATCGTACGCGGACGACTTCTGGTGGTAAATGTGGTGGCTGTAGCTGTCATTGTCGTGGTCGTCCTGCCTGGAGAGCTTTCGGTCGTCCATGTCGTCTGCGTAGTGGCTGTTTAGTATGCCAGAGCTGAATCTGGCATCTCGGAGCTTGGCTAGAACGCGGTCGACCTCCTCACGCACTTCAATGCTGGGAGGAGGTTGGGCAGCTACAAATACCGAGGCGCCAACTTTGCGTGGGACTTTCTGGCCGGCCAAAGACTCTGTGCCGAGCTTCATTGAGACGCGGAGGAACTTGCGGAGCGTCATGCCCTCGGGCAGATCCAGGAGCCCTTCCAGGAAGTAGGACACGAGGGCTGCAGCGTACTCTTCCTCGGCCCGAGACCAGATTCCGCTGCGTAGATACTGTTGCGGCTTGTCACCTGTGGGAGACGACGGGGCCTTGGGGCGGCGACGCTTGATCATGGCGTCCGCCTGGACCAGCAGGTCCAGCTTGGACAGGAGATCGTCCCCCCCCCCCGCCGCCGCCGCAGCGTCGGTAGAAGAGGAAGAGGACTGCTGTGGTTGCTGTTGTTGTTGCTAAGCTTTGGCCAGGTTGTTCTCCTTTCCATCATCGCGGCCAGCTGCCGCTTGCGTCATGTCGTCCGAACGAGGGAATCGCAGTATGTCGAGCCGCGAGACCCCGCTTCGCTTCACTAAGTGAATATTGTGGACAGGTTTCGGCATCAACTCAGGAAACCCGTGATCGACGCCAAGTTGCGGACGTTGCTACAGTAGTAAGGCCATTCCTCCCTATCGCCTTGTCCTCACTACTTGTGCTGTTGGTGCTGGTTGGTATTATAGTTACTTGAAGCGGAAGGCGCCGCATGCAAGCGAGACACCTCCACAGTCCACTACTAAGGCGCGCAAGGGCTGCCCACTCTGCACCGCCTACTCGAGGCTCATCGAATTGCTCCACGAAGACGTCACCTGTGGACGACGCGAGTCCTTTGCAGACGCAGCTGCTGCCAGGTTCGAGCTCGCTCAACACTTCGCGACGCCTGTGTACAAGCTGCCAGCTTCGATCGTGGCTGGGACATAGTGCGCGTAGCGCTAGCAACAGCTCTGCGCATGCGATTGCTAGATGAGGACGGTTGGCAGCCGACAGGAGGGAGACATGGAGGCCTTCCGAGGGTTTCCGCCGGTACGGTTCGTCTCGGTGGGCGTGTCAGGGCGTAACTAGAGCAGCGCAACCCGGAGTTGCCGCCTCCGAGCCCGGCTTGCTATCGCCAGGGCTGGGCGATATCAGTATATATAGACATTTTCTCGCAAAATTTGTCCAGTTGGGTGATGTCTCTTTTCGATGGATATAGTGAAGCCAAGTAAAGGTTTATGAGCGGGCGGATACGACGGGACAGATTAAACGGTTTCGGTGGTAGTCTTTTGGAACGCGCCGAGCGAGCATGATAAAACCTCCTAACCCTAGTATTAAACGGTGATTAGAACAAACGCTGATTAAACTTTTTATGATAGTTGTGGAAGGCACTCCACTGTTCCCCGTATAGTATACGGGGAACAGTGGACTAGTCAATCGCCCTGATTCAATCGGGACGATTGATCTCGTACTTAATATGATAGTATGGGAGTTTGTATGGCCTCGGGGGCGAGTGGTTCAATCAATCGCCCGAGGAAATTTTGCCGAGCCCACAATACTCCAAAACCCGCATATTTGAGTTTCAAATCCACAAAACCCGCATACTTCCACAAAACCCGCATACCGTATTTGAGACCTCCTGCTTCAGACGCCGGATTATTGAAGTTGTAGCGTTGTACAATGTTTTTGTTCATTTTCAGTTCCTTTTGTGCCATATTTTTCACATATGTGCCATATTTTGCACATAAGGCGGTACAATTTTATACAGAATCCGTACACTTTGCACGAGAAAGAACAAAATTGGCGCATTTTCACAGACCGATTGCCTGCTAGCTCCTTCAGTTCCGTAGTGCCAAATGCGTTAAGACTCTCGAAAGAAAACTTCAGGTCGCACCAAGGACGCTGTGTTGTTTCCTCAGGCAGATGGCTCCTAATTCGGCTAGAAAGTAGAGTTATCTGCTCCGAGATTCCGACCTGCGATTTGTTTTGCGTTTAAGTACGAAAATACCGCTCGTATGTACGAAAATGAAGCACGTGTTTCGCTCCTTTTTCGGCATAGCGGAGTCAATTTTTATGCGTTTTGAGTGATTAAAAAACGGGAGCCAATAGCTGCTCATTTCGGGTAAAATACAGGAATCCGCGGTCCAATCGCGTGTCTGGAAGAAAAGTTATGGACTCTCGAAAAAGTCGTTGCAATCTTTTACGCCCGGAGGAAGTATGCGGGTTTTGGAGTTTCCTCACAATACGCGACCTTTGGTGCGCATTGCCAGTCAAGTCCTGTGGCTCGAGGCTCACCATGGGCGCCGCCACATCGACGGAGCTGGTGGACTGCGTGGAGGACGGCGACATCTAGCAGCTGAAGTTGCTGCTGCACGACCACGAGGCGGACGCCAAGAACAAGGACGCGGAGCTGCAGGTCGAGGAGGCGGTGCACATGTTCGTGGCCTCGGAGCTCGAGTCCGGCCAGCACCTGCAGCAGCTGCAGATCGCACTCGAGCTGCTGCTGCTGCACGTGCGTCCGGAGGCCTGGAGCTCCACAGCCTCCAGCCAAGTTTACAGCGCGGATGAGGGGGAGGAAGATGCCGTTACTAGCGCCACGAGCAACTCGGCAGGCTGGTCGGCCTGCCATCGCGCTTGTGCAACGGGCAACCTGGCCTTGGTGGCCTTTGTACTGCAGCATTATCGGGCGCAGTTTGAACTGCAGACTCGTGACACTTTTGGGTTGTTTCCAGTTGACTTGGTGCCGTCGGTGCTGTTGATGAGCGCAGTGGAGATCCAGGACAATCTCCGAGAGAGCGGGACGAGATGAAGCCATCGACGGCTCGCGCGCGCTGGTGCCTCGCTCTTCAGCATCTGCGCGAACGGAAGGCAGTGCTGCAAGACCAACAAGTTCGCAGTCTGCTTGGTGACTCGAAGGTGGGGTTAAGAGTAACCAAGAAGACGGAGATCGCGCCCGAGAATTCTTTGTGGCGTTTGAACCGAGACGTGAGCGGTTATCGCTTGATCTGGGATGCAACATGGGGCACGTCCACGAAGATGAAGCGCATCTGCACACCATGCAGGGCGCGGACGGCGACCGCGGGTTGGTCTACCGCGCGGCTGAGCTCATCTACAGCTCGGTGGCGCAGCAGCAGCACATCTACGAGTTCCAAGTGTCTGTGCAGATCGTGGGGGTGTACAACGAGGAGATCAACGACCTGCTGGCGTCGCCTGATACCACCGGGAACAACGGTAGTGTTAGTCACAGCAGTAATACAGCTCCGGGGGAGCGTCTGCGGGCAGCGGAGACCGGGGCTCGCCCTCCAGTTTGGCCAAAATGGGCTGCCACGTCGGCGCCACGAGCCTCCACAGTCGTCGACGAGGAGCTCGAGGGCTGGTTGCAACACATGACCGAAAATGAACAAAAACATTGTCATGTTCTGCTCGTTTTGCACCTGTTCTACGCTATGAATTAGGAGATCTGTCTGAAGTAGATCTCACAATTTGCCGGTACCGTATTAAATACGGTACCGGCGTCTGATTCCAGAGGCACTGCACACTGAATGAAAGTTAGCACTAAGCGAGCGAAGCGAGCCGATTCCCGCACGTAAGCGCGGTAGGGTTCAAGCATTACCAGCAAGGGTTTTTGAGTTCGCGCGGAGCGCGTGCAGGGTGATAGTTTTATTGTTGTATCGATTGCTTTCGCTGCCGAAGGCAGCGCTGTATGCACCCTGCCTGCGGTTTACGAGCCGTGCGCGCAGCGTGCGGTCGTAAACCCAGGACAAGCCATGTCGAATTCTCGCGACCACTGGCAAAGGCAGCGCTCGACCTAATGCAAAGACAGCGTTCGAGTGCGCCGCTTATCCCTAGGAATCAGATGCCGGTATGCGGGTTTGGTAGAAGTATGCGGGTTTTGTGGATTTGAAACTCAAATACTTCCTCCGGGTTTGAAAAAGTGCAAGATCTACAAAGAAAGTTTAAATTTTACAAGAAATAGGCCATATTCACACGCCGGTACAGCTCCGCCATTCTAGAGTCGATTTTCGCCAAACTGTCAATCCTCAAGCGTATGAATCGCGTCTGCCCTCAAATGAAAGCCCACGGTGTAGCAAGTGCTGCTGTAAATTGTCTATACTAGGTGAGTTCGGCTTCAAAAGTCACAGCGGATTGTTCCAGCACCAGGATCTCCACCTGGGATTTGCGGAGACTCGAAACCACGATTAAGTACGAAAATGAGGCTTTGCGTTTACTCCTTTTTGATCATAACTCAGTCGTTTCTCACGTTTTTTGAGTGATTAAAGGACGAGAGCCAATCCCAGACCGTTCCACATCGAATGCAACAATCCGCGGTCCAATCGCATGTCTAGAAAAAAAAGTTACAGCGGTGAGAAAAAATATCTTGCACTCTTTTCCAACCGGAGGAAGTATTGTGCTTTTCAGTTGTTTTGGCGAATCGGACGTGTAAAACAGCTGCCTACTAAGATGGGGCTAGGTTATCGGAGCAGATTAGCAGTCCCTCGTAGGGAATTAGGACCAAGAATTGCTAGTCCGATGGAAGCACTTGCGCAGGTCCTACAAACAGCCGAAAGCCCGAATTTCGCCCATTTTCACGGCATTCGGGGTTTGAGGTCTTACGAAGGACTCCTGCCAAGTCTTGTGGCAGGACTTTCATACGAGCTGACTCTAATACGGCGTATGTCAAACGCAGAATAAACTTAGGGAAACACGATGCAGTCGCTACGTTAAACACTCCAGTCTTCGCCCTTCGCCTTCGCGGGTTCCGGCACTGCTTGCTTCCCTAAACAAAGCTTGCTTGGCTTGGACTCCAACCGGAGTCCATTGAGCGGAGAGACTCCGGGAGACCGCTCATCGGACTCGTCCGAGATTTGCATCTCAGATTTAGAGACCGCCAACCTCATATTAACTGACCTACAAAGTCCTACGTAGGACTCGGCAAAATGACCGAAAGGCACAATACTTACTAAGTACTTCCTCCTGGTTCGAATGATTGTTAAGGTAAAAGGATCCGGCACGGAGAGAACGTGGAGGCGGTGGCCGCGCCCAGCGCCAAGGAGCTGCACGACGCCATCGCGCGCAGCAAGGCCAGCAGGTCCAAGAACAAGAACGACCGCAGCACTCGCGCCCACACCGTCGTGATGATCGACATCTGGCGCACCAGCAAGGCGAACGGCGAGGAAGATGCAGGAAGGCTGGCGCTCGTGGACTTGGCGGGCTCGGAAAGGCTGTCCAAAACCGCGGACACGCCCGCCATCACCGTCCGTGAATCGCAGCACACCAACAAGTCGCTGGCAGCCGTTGGAGACGTCCTGGCGGCGCTGCTGGCGAAGGAAAAGCACATTCCGTCCCGCAACACCAAGCTCACCCACTTGCTGCAGGACTCGCTGAGTGGCAGCACCAATCGCACTCTGCTCATTGCCCACGTGAGCCCGAGAAGCGCCGACGTCATCAATTCTCTCAAGTTCGCGTCGCGCGTAAGCCACATCCAGATGGGCAAGTCGCAACGCACAGAGCGTGCCGAGATCACTCGCCTGAACGGAGTGGTGGGGCTTGATTGGTATTAACTGACGGTACGAAGCTGACTTATTCAGTGTTTTTCCCTGCAGGTTGCCAACCAAGTCTCACAGATCCAGGCGCTCCAAGAGAAGCTGACAGCAGAGCTAGAGCTACGCAAGAAGTATGAGAAGCGGCTGGAAGAGTACCGCCAGGAGGAACACCGCCGCAGGTCGAAGGACTATGAGAGAAGAGCTCTGCAGCAGATGAGGACTCCGTCACCAAAACTGCCACCTGCCACCCACAATCCCATCGCGCAGGTGGAGCTTGTATACACGAAAGTACGCAGATCGGCGTGTCGTGGCGCTCGACGCTTGCCACTCAGTTGGAGCAAATACTAACTCGTTCTGTATTATTCATGACAGGGAGAAGCTTGCCAATGCGCAGGGGCTGAATGGTATCGAAAACGTTGCTGAAAACATTCTCCGAGGCAACGAGTCTTCGCCCGAAACTGCAGAGATTAGGACGACGAGCGGTGGCAAACCGAGCGGCATCTTTCCTCCTACGTACTTCTCGCGGATACTCAGTTTGTCTGCTCTGGATCAAAAGAGCAGACCGAGCTGCGCACACAGGGAAGAGGGAGAGATCAGCAGCGTCCGAGAAAGTTCGCAGCGTCCAAGCAAGTCTCATTCGACTTGTCGCTCGCAACTATCGGCACACCGGCTCTGCCTTCTCGCGAACTCACCGCTACACCCAGCGCTCCTCGAGTGTAAGTGCTGCATACCAGCCTTGATCAAGAGCTCACTCGTTTTGTTTGCTGTGCAGCCCTGTAGGTGGAGCGGTGCGGGTTCTTGCCGCGACCCGGACGGCCACGCCGGCGAGGAGGGTTGCATCGGCTTCTGGCAAGCGCGTTAAGCCTAAATGGAACGGATGGCGGTGAAGTGCGATAGCTTTTTGACGACCAAGCACTCAAGACAGACCAAGAACCACACGCGAATCAGTGAAGAAACCCCACAGTAACGTTACGTATAATATGACCAACACAACAGTAAGCTGGCCTCTCCATCCATAAGTTTTCGTCGGAATGCCGTGTGTCGAGCGCGCGTTCGGTCTGTGATCGCTCTAGAATCGGACGTGACACCACCTTCAACGTCGTTCCGTTGCTCGGCTTCGGCTGGGGCCTCATACTGTTCGACCGCCGCATCTTCAAGCGCTGCTCGCTGCGCAGCTTCGTCCGCAGCATCGACTTCATTGCGTGCGCGTTGGAACATCTGAAGACAAGCACAACCTTCGTCAGCTTTCCTTCACGAGCAATAAATAGGATAGGACTCAGGGACAACGCACCGTGCAGTGTACGTGGTTATTGTGGTATTTGGTGCTGATGGTTGCTTTTGCAGGTGATGGATGGCCGCAAGTTCACGGCGGTCCCGATCTTGGTCGGCAACACCAAGAGCAAAATGCACTAAACGAAACCAGCGTTGTGAAGAACTCTGTCGGGTTTCGCTTCGGGTCTTCTCCAAAGTAGTCGAGCACGCTTGATACCTCTTCTTGTGCCCGGTCGATCCCTTCTTTGAGGGCCTCCATCTGTGCTTCGATGTCGGAGGTGGCAGTCTGCATCGACTTGATCGTGACTTCCAGCCCCAGGCTTTCGACCGCTTGCTGCTTGACACAGTAAATTAATTGGCGTGTAAGTCGAACAACGCAAGCAAGACCGAATAGACATACCTTTTCCAGAAGTACCAGCTCGTTATTGAGACTTGTGAGCCCCTTCTCCAGCTTCTTGTACTCTTCATCGAAGGTGTCGAAGGATTCGCGCGCTGCCAGAGGGACACTTCACAGTTCGGCCTGGAAGTCGAGCACCTGGATGATTTTTCTTCACAAGCCGGACGAGGTAGTGCAGCACCGTCGTCTTCTGGTTCACCGCATTTGTGTGTCCCAATCGCAGCAACGAGTCCACCGTGAATCCCTTGATCCCGTTGTCTTCGCCCCTGCCGTTCAGGGTATTGCCCAGCTTGAGGACCATAGCCAGCTAAGTCTTGAGCAACCGACTGCCCTTGACCTCCTCGCCTGCTTTTAGCAGATGGGACAGCGAGGCCGATAGCTCCGCACTACGCATCGTGAAGGACAGTTTGTATACCAGACTTGATTCGCCCCAGGCTGAAAGTTCATCCTTGAACTTTCAGCCTGGCGCGAATCAAGACAACGAAATGTAAGCCAGCAGTCTAGAAATTCGAGCACACAATACAATCACTCCTAGCATCTCCTAATCACCAGTATACCCGGACACCAAAGCTGCTTCCTCAGACGTGGGCAGGAACTCAATTATCCCCACAAGCTGCTCAAGCGTCAGACCGTTCGGGTCAAACTTGATCACAGCTTGGGCAATCTCAGTGTAAGAAAGTTTGACCCGCGCCAACGAAATCGCAGCGTTCATTGCACGTTTCCCGTCGATAAGAGTCACGGACCGTTTCCGCTTCAGAGCCTTACTCTGACCACGGGACGAGTTCTTCTTGCCATAACCCGGGTTTTGGTTCGCGAAGAAAAGCGCCTCCAGCTCGTCCATATCCATATCAAAGTCAACGTCGTCATCTTCGTCTTCCCAAATTGTCTGCTGGTTGAGATTGCTCAGCCGGTCCTCCGAAATGGGCTGCCAGTGCAGCTTCTTGCGTGGACGCTTTGGCTTCACGACTGCAGCTCTTGCCCGCCAGAAGACAATTGCGAAACCGTGGCGTCCGGTCCGAGGTCCAGAGCACGCACATCAGCATTCTCCTTCACCATTTTCTGCTTGACTGCGCCCTCAGGAAGCCCCATTTTCAGCATCTTAAAGTACTTGGAGTACACAGGATCATCTTGAAGCTTGACATCGTTATTCGAAGAGATTAACTCTGACACAAACGCATCTCCAACCAAATCAAGAGCACGCTCATCTACACCTTCAGTCTTCATCTTCTGGCGAACCGCTCCTTCCGGCAGCCCCGTCTTG